TAAGAGCACAAGCTGCTTTCGTGTATTGATTATGACATGGCACAGTCCGCTAAACAATCCTGAACAGTCTTCATTTTCATTTCGTTTAAATACGATTGCTGAGAAAATTTAGATAATTTTAAATAAGAATTACAGAAAATTATTTAAATAATTCTCATAGTTTCTTTTTATGTTAATCGAAGACTATTAATAAAAATTCCGAGACTATTTATATTTTTGAATAAACGAAATTATTCTTCTAGCATATTATAGATCTACAAAAATTCTTCTAATTCATCAAATACTATCATACCATCAATCAAAATCATAAAAACCTTACCATACATACTAAGAAAAAAAAAAACTTTATAAAATTGTATTAATAATGTACTCAAAAGATAGAGGAAACGATGCTGAGAATAATGCAATTGGATCCAAGTCGATATCTCAATTGGTTCTCGAGATATAGGGGTTTAAAGTATAGAGGCGCGGGCATGGAATTATGAATGGCAGCCGAAAGCGCGGGAACTCCGTGACCTACATTTTTTCCAGGAAGTGCGTATACTACGCGTAGTAATAGTAAAAAGACGCAGACTCAGTGTTTATCAATCACCCCGGCAATACTACAAAGCTTGGGATAGGTCAACGGCTAGGAGCGAGTGAGACGACAATAGAAAACTACTAAAAATTAGGCTTCTCTTTACACGGCGATATCTCAGTAACCAGAAGTCGTATCTTCATAAATCCAAAACCACCAAAAAGGTGAAGCTTCAGAGCTTCCAATGAAGCTATAATTATTGCAATATTGCAAATAGTTTCGGAATTATTGTTATTTAAATTTTTAACAATTTTAATAGGATTTCTGATAGATTTTGCGAGGTATTTTTGATTTTTTTGAATATTCTGGGCACTCTATTGTTTATAATAATACTAATTATTGTTATTACTGTCGTAAATAAAAACTTGGTAAAGATTATTTAAATAAATTAGCTCTGGTATTGATTGAAACCGTTTTTCTGCGTTTAGAACCTAAAATCTAAATGATTGATTCCTAAAGGTATAATTGTTGAATCTTTCAATGATGTTATTAATTGTTAAATTAAATTAACAAATAACTGTTAAGGTAGGATAGGTCAGACCCTAGCAATTTGTACTTTCTACAAATGTAAATTAATTTTGAAATAAAGTGCCAAGTAAAACTTACAGAATTTTTTAACTGAACCTATTTATTCTCAAAATCGCCCCTAAAAACTACGTTCAAAAACAGAAACCAAACGTCAGTACAGAAGCAATACTAAAATTACCTTCGAAACACGGTTTCTCGAATACAATTTAGCAAACGTATCGGAATGGAGGGAAGAACATTGGCGCGTGTCTACGACAAGCAAGAAACTTAATCGAACGCGAATTCTCGACGCTACGGTAGTGGTTTCGATCTCGAGCCACTTCTTTGTCCGTCATTTGCGTCCAGAATTTGTTACTCCCTGGACACGAGAGACCGTTTTGCTGGAAAAGAGAGCTGGCCGGAAATTGGCCGCAGATACACGCTCGACCACGAACAAAACACGCTAGTGCAAAAGTAAAAAATAAAAAAAAAACGCCCCCTTGTTCGACGAGGTTGGAAAAGATATCAAAAGCAATCAATTCCTTTTTACCCGACGAACAATGTTCCCCACCTCCCCTCTTGCCGGGGTAATGGCGTTCGCGTTGCCTCTGGCATTCGGAGGCATCGTGTGCGTTACAGTGTGTGTTTCCTATGTGGTGCGTGTTGCATATTTAAAGCAGCGGGCAAGAACGGAATATAAAGTCCGTTGGAAAACAGTGGTCGAGCAAAAAGAAACGACGTTAACCGGGTAGAGAGGTTTTGGTCGCGTTTCGCGTATACCGTCGTTCTTGCAAAAATTAATAAAGCAACGTCACGTGGTTTGCCGTTGTGTTTGGCGGAAAGAAAAGCTAGCAGAACCCCATGAATGTGCCCTCGTCTCTCCCTCTCTCTTTCAGGTTATAATTCCATTCCACACGGCTGGCCAGCAACAGCCTCACCTGAGCTTATGACTTTTATTCGGACCTCCTATTTCTACATGCTGGTCACGAACTGTCTCTGAATCGCAACAATTAAAGCAAAAGTACCGACCGTCCTGGCTTTTTCAAGCTTTCGCATCCCTTGCTGCACACTGATCGCGAAAAAAAAAAAATATACACGGTCGAAAGAACGGGAAACGCGAACATTATTGGGTGTGAATTACGCAGGAACAGCGAGGAATTAGTTTGCGAGGGTTTCGTGGAAAATGCGAGTGAAAAGTGGAGCTGAATAATCGTGGATGGAATTTTTTGCAGCTTTGGTTCTTATCTAAAAATATTGTAATAGGGGGACCTGGCTTATCTTAGAAAAAATTCTAGTTACGTCAATGGCCTTCTAATATTACTACGAATTGCTAATTATTTACTGTTCATTGAATTTAACCCTCGATCAACGGAGCCACATTTACAAAACACATACAAGGACATTAATCTAAAATTAAATTACAATGGCTCTCTCCATGGTCCGCTGTTCGAGGGTTAAAATGGCAAACTTTCAATATCACTACATACCAAAGAAAACTACCTCACCCTTCAGAAATCTAAGTTTGATGATAAACAAGGAAACACATCTGTATTCTTGAAATTTGAATAGCAAGTGAAATGCGAAAAGAAATGGAAAAATCGAACGGTGCGAACAATATCACCCATAAGTTTGAACGTTGCTCCATAATCCTGCCAATCCCCGATTGCACATAAAAATTTGTTTTCCGAAGCAACTCGAAGATAGGAATCGATACAGACTGCAACGACCAGATTTATCGAGTGATAAATAGTCTTCGCTCTCTCTCTTAGCTTCGGTACAAGCGGATCCTAAATTATACGGAAATTCAGTTCGCGAGAAGGGTGCGAACAAATAGGAGAAAAATGCCGTTTCAGCCGACTTCCGGTGTGTGTTCTGCATGAAATATATACGAGATCTCGACCAGTCACCTCACTTTGACTTAATAATTATTATCTACGGTCACGTGAACCTAATCACGTTAGCGTGTACCGGCCTTTTATGATAATCATACGTGCGGCGACTCTTTAAATTCTTTGCATTCAATCAACGCGGCCCTTGTTCATTTTTTAACTGATTAATTAGGAGGAATAAGCTGAGAGTTAGAAAATGTTAAAAAGGCAGATAATATCAAACTTACACGTGCTTCAAAGAGTTAATTTAAAATAAGGAATTTTGACAATATGAATACGAATGTTTAAAAAATACAAGAACCTCGTATGCAACATGATGCAACATAGTATTAAATATTATCTAATGTTTCAGTATTAAGTTTCCTTTGAAAATATCATATTCTGTACCTATTCTTCCTCACTTATAAAATAAATCATTTGCACCGTAGAGGGGCAAGCGAATTATTCGGTAAGATAAATAAATAAATAAATAAAAGGTTGCGGAGAAACGTAAAACGACACCGCTCCCGGGTCTCTTAATGCACCAAATAATCTTTTAATTCATTATTTAGTCGAGTTATCTCTTGTGCCAGCTTAAAGCTCTGTTACTAACGTTTTAAAAACCAATATGGATATACCTTTTACTTATGTCAGCCGAGTGTGTATATGTTATACGTTGGAGAAAGGTCTCAGCATTTCGGTATTAGAAAGTAGTGCTTTTTAGGGCTTTCAAGAATTTCACAGCGAAGCTTTTAAACGGACAAGCTGAGAAGTTTCTTTGACGATGATACACGAGATCTTACGGAAGTCGAGTCATTTCGAACTGAGTCGAATGCGATTTCCCGTTTCAAGTTAGACTCCTTACAGTTGCTTCTTATGACAAACGAAAAAAATAAAACATGACACACTGAACTAAATGAGTCTACGTCGATGTTTTATAATTCGTCCTCCCGAATAAAATGACCTAGTTGATCGTGCATTCCCGATTAAATCCTCGACATTTTACATTGTTTATTGACAGTTCCATAAATAAATAAATAAAGCAATTAGCGTGTATTAATCTCCTGAGAGATGCTGATATACAGCTTGCATTTTTAATTTTAGTAGATATTCAGAAAAATTATATTTATGACAACAGTTGCAACTTCAAGCATTTATAATATTGAAGTGTAATATTTATTTTCCAATGTGAAAAATAAGAGTTGTACTTTAATGAGCTTGAACTTACAAAATAATTAATCGAAACGTGTATTATTTCTTTCACGGACAATAATGGAAAGTGTCGATCAGAGCGATGACGTTCGATTTTAATTAGCCTGATTTTAATCGATGCCAAAATGGTAATAAATGCGCCGATGCATCGATGCGAAACGGTACGCAAAAATAAATTAATAAACTTCAATATTGTTGCTGATATTCCTCGTACGTATCGCGTGCACCATGCAGAAGCAAAACATTCGGGAAACGGTCCGAGATAATAATTGTGATTTATGGTCTGGTAGTCATAATTCCAGCATCGATGGCAAATTATGTGTCTGCTTTTCAAAATTGCACCAACGAACCCATACACGTTCACAGATTCCCTTTATGTATTCAGGAGATATGCAGATATTATTATTCTTTTTTTTAGACAAAATTTTGCTTGTTTCCACTTCCTGACGATTATTAAATGAAAAGGTTATTGTTCTTTTTTTTTTTAATTTAATACAATATTAATATTAAAAATTGTATAATAAATATTTGATAATATTTTATCGACCGAAATCTTCAATTTTAATTAGCATGGTAAAGCCATTGCTAAGTGACAATAATAATGAATTAAAAAAATACTGTTACACCCATTTATAATGTAATAATTGCATTTAGTGATTTAGATGTCAAAGAAAATTACTGTAGCGTAATAGCAATTTAATTTAATTTAATTTAACCTGATCTAATCAAACTGCAATGTTTCCCTTTGTTTATATAAATGAAAATTTAATTAAATTGTCTTTTACGATACCTGATCGTTGAACAAAATTGTATATCACCATGGAATTTGCACTCACCTGTCATAGTAGTAGTCCCTGCAATCAGAAAAAATAAACAACAATTATTTGAGGAACCACAAATTAAAATTGATCATCTATTAAATAACCGTATCAAATGAAAATGGACAAAATTCTGTTCGAAAAAATACATATTGTCAGTGTTACATTTCATTCGAACATGTTACATATATTTCTTTTTTCAACAATGTTCGAAACAAATGTTTCTACCGATTCAAACACAACTCGATATACGAGATGCATCGAAATCGATATTTCTGTGACATTTCATACACGACAAGGACAAAATAAATCTCAGGGCGAAAAGTACGTAATATTTCTACGATTTCAAAAATCATGGCTGCAGTGTCAATAAAATAAAGCAATATCGAAACACGATACGATTACAGAAGAAAAGCAATTTTCATTACTTATTTTAACAATTTAATCAAATTTTGATTAGTTGTGTTATATGGGAAGTACTAAATTTTCTAGTAAAATGTCTAATAAAATTTTGACTGCTTTGTTCATTAAAAAAAATACAGATTCAAGTTTATTAATAATACAATTTTTCAATTAACTAAGGAAAAGAAAGCTTCAAATATAAATCGTAATATCACAACAAAATTATTAAAATTTTAATAAAGACCTGAGTGTCTTCCTCACATAAAAAGATACAGATTTACATATAATAAATAGTGTAACAAAAGCATTAAATCTCCAACGATTTTGGATCTTTCCTACACCACTTTATACTTCAATTCACACTAGCGATTCAATCGCAGCTAAGTCACACTTCAATCACTGTTTAGTGTTCCATTGAATCGACTAAAGTACGATAGTGTTCAAGTGCCAATCACGTTTCCAACGTAGCAAACGACGTTTCAAAGGTGATCGAATCGTGACTAAGACCTCTGTTGTGTGACAAATCTAAAGCCTTCTTTCCGACGTTGAAATTTGGCGTTTTAAATGCATTCTCTTTCCACTGAATTATTTCAAACGTGAAAATAGGAAACACCTGAATCTTTACCTGTCCCTGCATAATTGCCATCGTTATTTACCACACCTTAAGCTTTCACGTTTTTATTCCTGCTGCAAAAACGCTTTAGCGATACTTAAGGTTATCGGACATTAGACAGGGATTACTGTGAATTACACAATCCTGTATACACATAGAAGTGATAAAGGTGTGAAAGAAAATGGTTCACAAGCTGGAACGTAGAGAAAAACTAACGATTCCAAAGAGACATTATCTGTGCTATTTGTAATCAAATTTCCAATACTTTCATTTCTGTCGTTTAAACCGAATATCGAACATTCTTGTAGGATAAAAGACTTCGATAAATAATAAAAATTATTCGATTGCTTGGGAAATTTGTAACATTTGAAACTGTTTATACTATTTTAGAGTGATAATATCTGCATAGTGTAAAGTCTGACAAGATTTGATGAATTAAAAGTGTTGTAAAATAATAATTATGGAATATTAATTCTAAGCTTGAGATTTATTAAAAACGACTTCCTAAATGTTTTTATCGATATTTCAATTAACCAGTAATTTTTTAATTAAAAATACTAATGGATCAAGAAAGAATGCTTAAAAAATCATCAAGAATATTTCAAGAAAATTTACATCAAAATTGATCATTATTTCTATGGAATAAAGAGTGATAAGTTAGCTGTTAAGTGGTCTATTATTCGTTTATCAGTGGAAAGTGTTCTTTGAGACAACGATGTAAAGAGAAAATTGCCAATTACTCTGCTTGTTGTAAATAACTTGAGAGGTTGATACATTCTAGGTGTCGAAGCGTTACTTGCATCGACGTTTTAATAGACGAGTCTAATAAAAAAAAAGCAATGACACAATGAATTCAATTAAATGAAGAAAAATCGACTGTCAACTTTAGAACAATAAAAATCCTACAAAATTAATAATAAAATGGAAAATGTCACACTTGCAATACCTTTAATAAATTTGTAATTTTAAATTTAGAAATTTGGAAATTTTTCATTCTGTAAAATTTGTAACTTTGTAAGGTTCCTAAGAATTACAAGAAATAATTTCTAAGCTTTGATTCGATTAAGTTATTGGTAAACGTTCGCTTGTGTACTGTTCGTTATTTATCGAATCAATTGAAACATACAGGAAGGAAATTGCTGATAATCAAGAGTAGAAGGAAGCTAATCGAATTTGTGCAACGATCGACCAAACGAAAAGTGTTTCGGTCAATAAACGGTCCATTAGTTTCCGTTTAAATACACGATTTCTGCGGCTGAAAGAGAGAAAACGAAGGACGTTGACCATGAAATGCCGACGAAAGGATCGAACTCCGTAGAAAATTGCCAATTACTTTGATTGCTTTGCTTCGCCTGCAAAGCTCGCCAATGCTCCACGTAATTCGTTGCCTCTGTATATTAATGTGAAATGCAAAGAAACATTTTCTAAGACTTTCATCATGAACGAAGACAAGTTTCAAATTAACTAAAGTGGCATTCGAGAGCTTCGGAATAACATTGACATTTCAATCATTATATGAAAACAAATATCCCACTTAACTAAAATGGAAATCAATTTTTAAATACATATGTTATTAAACTTTAAGAATCAATACTAATAATTCTGGGTCGACAAGACCACCTATAAATGACTGCAGGTCGAAAGGATCTGATTTAGATGAAAGTAGGTCAGTAATGCTACACATAGTCATTCCATTATTACATCGAGTTACTGGTAAATTCAGAAATGTATGAATAATTAAACACTTTCTATTGGAGACAGAGTCGACAGAAATTACAGTTAGTGATGAAAGAAAAACTTACTTTACTCAAAGATGCCCCAAATTTTTCAGAATCCTAGAATATAAAAATCTGTACGATTTCAAAATTATGGAAATTCTAGAATGTTTAAGAAATCATGATTTTTGTTGGAACTCGATATCTCAGAGTTTCAGGGAGGTACAGAATTCGAAATTTTTAAACTTTTATTTAAGTAAAATCATATTTTTAATGTACCCTAAATGTGATGATTCCTTTCTAAAGCCTGTTGTTGAAATACTCTCTACGCACATTTCACTTTTTCCCTTCAATTTTCATCACCTTTGTCGAGGGTACAAGTGAATATCGATCGAATCGAAAGAGTAGGTGGAAAAAAGGGATAATGATCGTGCATTCATGACCCAGAATGTCTGAATATTATTCTCTGGCCGAAAGCGTAACTACGACAGTTCGATCTCGTACACCGATTGGACACGAATAGAGAAATCGACTGACGACTATTCGAGCGTATAATTCCAAATACAGGGTTTGCTAAAAAGATCCGAACTTTATTCGGCTATTACCTGATAAAATTCACGCGAAAATGCCGATGTAAAGGAGACCTGATCGATCGCGGAAAACAGAGGGGAAGGGAAAAAAAGTGATCTGCATGGAATAAAAACGTTTTTCGTGAACCGCACGACGAAACACTGAATTCACATTTTTAAACAAATGTCCAGTATATATATTTTTATACGACCATTTCATATTCACACTTTCAGCAAAAAATATGCATCCCGGGCAATTTATGGTGCTCGAGAACCGGGAAATATAAAATACTCGTATTGTTCGTTATATTTGACCGCGTTTTCACGACAGAGAGAGAAACAAAGAGATGGTAGAAATAACGTGTGTGATTTATTTGAGAAAAATTTTTACTTCAATGAAACGCGTTGATTTGAATTGAAACATTTTCTCCAACTATTTCTAATCAGAATTCTTGCTTATTAATGTAGCTTTTATTATAATAATTAAATCAGCCTGTCGTTTATTAAACTTTTAAAGTTTGTAATTTTGGAGAATTGTAATTACAGACAAATTTTTATTGCAATAAAAGGCACTGATTCGAAGTTAAACATTTTGTATAATTTTTTGGAGCCATTGTTAACTCATATATCACTGCTACGTTTGATCTGCATGCGTTTATTTGCGTTTTATTATATATTAATAACTGGATCGTGTATTTAAATTGGTGGAAACTGATTTCCAATGTTTTTAGTTCGATACGATTTAATACTGTATTTGGATAAAAAACAAAACATCCATTCGAAAATAAATGTTATTTATAATTTTTTAAACTACATATGTTTAACTCGTATCGAATTGATTGCAAATTATGCGTGTTCTATATATTTTATTTCAATAAATAAATCGAAAACAGAATTGTTTATACGATACTGAAATTTCATTTTAAATATTTTTAATTTCACAGAAAATCTAATCGTATTTACGGAGTGAATAGAAATTACATGAGAAATGTACATATAATTTATCATACACCTTGAAAATACCTGTATGAATTTGAAAATTTTTCATGTATCTTAATATCATGTCAAATCGAAAATTGGAAACGAATCCATTGAAAGGGTATGAGAAAAATCGAACAGGTATCGAAAAATAACGGTGTAATTATGGAGAGCCGATTGTTTTGGCGTGTTCATTGTTATGTGAAGTATTGCCTTTTATTTTGTACATTTTTTAACGAAAAAAATATAATCCCTCTGCGATTGTTCGATAAAACAGTTTGCACGAGAAAATTAAATAAAAAGTTACGATGTTATAGTATACACAAAATTATTAAGTAAAGAACAGATAATTAAATTAAAAATCAAGGAAGCTAATTATACGAGTTACGTTCATACCTTTGACTTGTTCGTGTTAAATAATTAACACCTTCTTCATTCAGTAAAATAATTCACTTTAAAATATATTATTTATTCAAATCGTCGCGTTCATATCGTGTCGATTTAAATGCATTGGTTTTACATATTCATTTACGGATTCGCTCTGTCACCGACTCCAGTTCATCTGTGCTTCATTTACGTTACGTTAATTAATGAACGAGCTCGAGTACTTTTAATTCCCTTTAAACAACGCGTAAACGGTTTTAAATTTCATTCGAAATCGCTTAATTTATTTCGTGCCCCAAAACCCATGAAAACTCATGAGAACATTTGTAAAAGTAGATACCACTTCAGAGGTGTTATCTTTAATTAAAAATATTT